ATGGATGTGCCAGCTTTTCTTCAGCCTTTCCATACAAGGAATTATTCGACAACCTTGAAAAGTGTGAACGAAAGGTACGCATGGTGCAGACAAATCAGTTTTAAGTAATGCAGTGTCGTGATATTTCGTGAAATGTTTATTTTGATCGATAGTGCTTGTTTTGATAACCTCTAAACTCTAATATTTTATACTTATATATAATTAGTGTATAATTAGTTTTTTGGATATGTGTTGATTGGTTCAAAGTATTGATTTTTTAAGAAATCCCAAGCTTTCCAATTTAGAGAATTCAAGAAAAATTTTTAACAAGTGAAGTATTAATAAATAATGAAACGTTGCTGCATCTTGCAGGAGTTATATCTGTGCACTCGATTTAAAAACATATTTTCTTTTAATATAACTTCTTGCATCATATCGGAAAGTGTTCCAGTTATTGAAATATTAAAGGAAATATTTTGTATAAAAATAAAGATTTTGTAGTTCAACGATAAATAAACCAGTGTTTTAAATAAATAAATGGCGAAAATATATATAATTAGTGTTTTATTACCGATATTACTGACAATAAAATATCCTAGATATTCCATAAAACATTTCAAAGCGTCAAAATATTTCAGAGCATATTACAAGCATTTTAGACAAAGGAAAAAAAAATTGTAAGAAAGAAGCATATTCAAGAGTATTTAATTAGATGTAGGATGGAATCCACAGACGTTGCTCAAGATTCGATATGATTTTAAATGAGTGCTTAAGATGTCATAAATCAATCAGAGAGCCGTGTTAGTATTTTAAGATATTGTTTGAGATGATCTTGAGATTAAGAACGGAGGATACCGATCTTAATTTGAGAAACGTGGTCTGTGATTTCCCGCTCAAGTGGTCGCCACGTGGCGACGTGCGCATGTGCAGTTCAGCAAAATTACCCGCGCAAATTTTGCAAAATTGAAGGAAACATTAAATGATGCTGTGGAATTTTACGAGTGCAATCGTAACAGAACGATTAGAATTTAAATAATTCCCAAGCAATCCTGAAAAAAAAGAGGTATCTACTCACTCAAATTTTCGTGTAGAATTTTCGTATAAATTTGAAGTCCAAAATGCCCCTTGTAATCAAGGTGATCTACGACTAGCACAGAGCACTATTCGCAGAAAATTGAATCAACGGCAATTGCATCTCACTATTCGCTAAAAATCGGATCAACGCTTTATCTGCGAACTCACTGTTCGTATATTATTAACACTTATCTTCCATTCATGATTTCTTCCTGACGAAGTGTACTTTCTTAGGTTAGACTGATTAGATCATATATAAAATTAATTTTATAAATGCGATTTTATTTTATAATGTGACGTTCATATAGCTTAATCATTTCCATTCGTATGCTTGCAGGTTTTTAAATCCAAAGGACAAGATTTGTCAAGATTCCAACGATTATGTTAACACATCGAATTCACGTGGGTGGCAAGAATTTCTTAAGAATGACTATAATAAGGAGAACTGTGGCGCTGCTAGTAATTTATATAGCCGCACACCTCAAAGAGTAAGTGTGTTTAAAAATTATAAGAATTCTTTAACAACAAAATATCCATATACATTTTATCAGACACCGAATTCTCGTAGAACATTGTAATTTTTTCGATGATTTTTACGAAATGTACTGCTGCTTTGGCAACGTGTTTACTAAGGCCGGGTTCACACCTTAACGAAAAAACAGAAGCTGAAAAGCGGAAGCCAATCAGAACTCGCGGAAAGACAGAAGCAGAAATGTATTATTATTTCCGATTGGCTTCCGTTTTTCCGCTTTCCACTTTTCCGTCAAGGTATGAACCGGTCTTAGACCATATTTCAAAAGTTTATAGATGCAATAAGTTGAAGTGAAACAAATATATATTTATCTTTCACTTCAATTCATTGCATTGTGTGTACTAGTTCAGAAAGTGCAGCAATAAAAAACAGACTATTGTAATGTTAATATTGAAAATTTATAATGCACGTAACGTAACTATAGATTTTCAGTGCTACTAGTAACGAATTTTGAAACTTGGGCTAAGATGATTCATTTGCATTGAATAACATTCTAAAATTAACACAATAATTCTTAATTTCATTCTCAATAATTTTTTTAATGTAACGGGAACTTTACAGTACAATGAATTTAATATTGTATATTGCACTGATAATACCTAACAATTCATTCACCTTTTTATTATGAAATAAGCCACTACAGCATTGTCACTGAACAACACGTTTACTGCGAAATAAAGTTTAAGTTTGTTATTTTGTCACATTATACTACAATTTATTGATTCTTATATTTAAGTTATTAATATATTTTCAGTATCATATTAAAATATTTTAAATAATATTGACATAAGTTTTTTTATATATTTATAATTACATATCAGTTCACTACATTTTATTTACATCTATCAGCTGTGCACTCTCAATTGGCTTCATGCACAGAGATAAACTGCTAGTACATTTGTTTCGTTAAAAAAATCTTTGAGATTTAATGTATATCTACATTAAGAAAAAACATAACGTTACACATTACGTAAATTTGTTTTATAATCTTTTTTTTTTTGTTTTTTCAAACTTAACTTCCATTATTAGGTCATTATTAGCATCACTATTAGATATTAACGGAAGGCATATATAATGCGGCTCGTTGAGCAAAGCTTTAAAAATTTTTTATCTAGGAGTTGTTACATCACGTTTTATTCTTAGTATTTTTAATTTATTATTAAATTTTTGAAGAATTAGTAGCAATTATTCTATAAATCATTCTATAAATACAATCTAACATAGAATTTATTGTATAGAACTTAATTTATTGTATAGAATTCCTTTTGCGATATTTTCTGCGCGATATAAGTTATATTAATATAAATTTAATGTTTAATGTCACATAGTTAATTTTAAAACTTACATTAATTGCGATATCGGCCGACAGATCTTTCAGCGATACCAAAATTTAAAATCCAACTAGATACTCGGGGAATACCGCGAGATTTTTACATCTTCCATGCATATGCAATTCAATTCCGGATGTGTAGTACACGCATTCTGGGGTACATATTACCATTTCCGCGATCAAGATTGAACGGCAAGTCCAGCTCGTATCCCGAATATGCATCGCACAGCTGCTGCTTATCACGAAGTACATTGATTTTAACATCAACGATTCACGCCGATCGATATAGAGATAGTGGGATTCCGTTTTTCCCACGGAAGAAAAAGAAATAAAAGAGGAAGGAAATTATCTTCCCTTCCGTTATTCCGTGCATTGATCTCTAATTTTTTTCATAATGTGACACCTTGCGCATCCGATTGTGATCGTTGTCGACGACTACCTTCCGTGTATTTTCCCATTTTCTCTTACTTTCCTTCGGCAATCGCATCTATGATACACTTTCCTTTCTTTTTCCGGCCGCTCTTTAATAATTAATCGATAAAAATCACCGGAAACAGATTCCCTTGTAAGGAATAGTCGATGATTCGGATGATTTTATTTAGTTGTATGGATGTCTGATAAAATGTTTCTTTCCTTCTTTTTGTTCTTCTCTTTTCCATTATGTATATATTCATCTACCTGAATTATTCTCAAGTCTTCGGACTTAGGAAATTTATTATAATATATGTACACGTTTCAAAATTTTGTCTCTTTCTTTAAAAATCGTAGCGATTTTATTGTTTATTGTCGTATTCTTTTAGGTACATTATAAGAAAGTACGACAACCTTTGGAACTTTACGAAGAGAACAGTCAGGACAGCGGTCATCCATCGAGCCCTATCAACGAAAAGGAGAACAAGCGGCGCGAAATTTACGTCGAGAACTGCGCGATGTTGAGGAATGTACCTATGGAATATTCAATGTGTTCATTTGCTTCCGCACCTTCTCCAATACGTAGTCAATACAAGACCACGAGCTCAAAGACCCTCTTGCGTAGCTTGTCATCAGGATACGATAGTATGGATGATGGGATCGTGAACGAGCTTAACGACATGGAGACCATGGACGAGGAAACGCAGCTACCGAGCGGCATCGCGAAGCTACTATCCGGCGACATAGTTGCACCCGAGGCATCGACTGATTACGATGTCTCGACGACCCCTGATTTCTCCAGGACTATGTCATCTAAAGTCAAAAAGTGGTTGTCGGTACAGAGCGGTATATACAAACGGAATATCAAGACAATGTCGCCTCCGCTAGTGAGGTCGCCGCTAATAAGATCACCGTTACTTGCGGGGACGCCATCGATGATAAAGACATCGTCGATGACGAGGTCATCACCGTTGGAAAAGATGCCGCCTTTATCAAAAATCCGCACTTGTCTATTTCGCTCGCCGACGGCAAGCTGCTCGAAAAGGACAATGATGAGAACATACAGCTACGACGAGGCCACAGCGCCTTACTATAGATTACAAATGGAAATCTCACCACATTCCGCCAGGTCTTATAAACGGCCGTCGGAAGATCTACTAGAGGACGAAGCGTCGATATTAAAAAGATCGCGCAAGTCCAACAATTTGAGTCTCGACACAACACCCGTATCGGCGAAACGTTCAAGTACCACGACGCACTCACGCTCTCTGCAGAGAAGTCTATCAGAAAGAACGGGCCTAACCGAAACACATACAAATATCAAGTGGGCGATCCATCGCAGCATCACTGATTCCGATCTCATCGGTGACTTCAGTAAACCGTGTATACTGCCGCTCACGAGTGGCATCCATGGGGATCTAAAAACAATCACATCCGACACATTGGCAGCGCTCTTACGTGGCGAATTTGCCGATCGTGTTAGTTCTTATACAATCATTGATTGCCGATATCCGTATGAGTATGAGGCAGGTCACATCGCAGGAGCAATGAATGTCTACAATATGGATCTCATCCAGCAGGTCATGCTCGATCATCTGATCAACACCGTTCCGAAAATCCAACTCGATACCGATAAACGCAACATAATCGTATTCCATTGCGAGTTCTCGTGGGAGCGCGGGCCGAATCTCTCGAGATTTTTACGCAAATTGGATCGCGCGTGTAACAAAGAATACTATCCGGCACTGTACTATCCGGAGATGTATCTCTTGCTAGGGGGTTACGAGAAATTTTACAGTGAACAGAAAGAGTTTTGCTCGCCGCAGGATTACAAACCGATGAAGCATCCCAATCATGAGGAGGAATGCCGATTCTTTCGTAGAAAATGCAAGAGCTGGCAAGCGGAGAAGACCAAAGGAATCAACCAAGCAGTGCGAACAAATCTCGAGCGTTTTGCCTTTTAAACGGATGTTCGTCTTTCTTTATTTGCATTTAATCTAATTTTTAAGGCTCAGTCTATACTCTCGCTCCCGTCGTACTAGTCGTGAATCGTTAGACGTTGAACGTCCTCAGAGACGGTCGGGATATCAAACACGCGTGCGCCATGCGCGTCGCTAAAGTGCAAACGGCGTAAAGAGATTAGTTTATTATTTTTTTAATTTTCGGTTGCTCTTTGCGCTATATAATTTGACTGACACCAGGAATTTTTTACGAGTGTCTTACACATGATGTATATGTAAATGTGTCATTCGATCATATTTAGATTCTAATCGATCTTTTAATACTTAAGTATAGTAATTTAGCAGCTTATTTACGGACGAGATCGATTAGAATTTATATCTAGATTGTACTTCCAATAATGACAATTTAGGCTATGGCTGTATATCGTTGCGGCTTTTCATACACATCCCACCGAGATCGAAATTTGTACATAAAAATTACATTATATCGGGTAGAATTATATACTTTGCGTCATTTTGTAATTAAGGACATTCTGTAATCAAACAATGCAATACATCCACGTGTCGACCCGAGGAATAACAGGGTAATCAGATGGGCATAATGTCGTGAATGCACGTTGCAAATTTCTTTTTTCGTATAACACCTCAGGTATCTAATTGTATATATAGGACATACGATTGGGGTTTCAAGGACTTACACATCGATCTCTGTCTTTCTGTCGGTATTGCTTTGCCAAGTTCTCTAAAGCAAACATTTACGGTCGACTTTGAAAATTGCATAAAGTGTTACCAATTCGTTGTTGCAATTTGATGAAAATGTATTATTAATATACACACAAAAGATTAATCCATAAATACTCGCATGGGATTAACGTGACTTGATTCATGTTTCTTTCGATTGATTTTTTTTTTTAAGAATGAAACAGCTAGTTTTATGCATACTTCGTTGAAAGAATTTAAGAAGCATAAAAATCTGTTTTTTTTCTCAAATTTCTTTTTAAGAAATTGGAGAGATAAAGAGAGAAAACTTTTTTACCGCGCAAGTACTTGAGGATTAATCGATAACACAAATTAATTACGTGAAATTTTTCTATTGCGCCAAGTGATGCAAATGCTATTAAATGTGCAAATTTTTTTGTTGTTACATTGTAAAAATTATTTTTACGTTACATAGATAAATATTTACGCCACGCAATGCAAATATGATGAATTTTTTTATTTTTCTCATCTGTCTGCTAACAAGAACTGTACACCTTTTTCACATATCTTTCCTTCTTTTTCTTAATAAGTTCCCTGTTTTCAAGCCACTATGAAAGGTCATAGTACTACCAGGTAACATATAATATTCATAAAATATTTACAAAATATTTATAAATATTTTTGTGGTTTTGTGGTTAGATTACAAAGATCATAAATTTATTGCACATATGAAATATTTATTATAAATGTAGTAAATGCTATGAAAGTACTTAATAAGACATTAAAATCAAAGTAAAAAATAGTTACTATAAATATTTATTTATATTCATCATAAATATTACATAAAATATTTAGTCTATTTATTTTAATAATATTTTAAATAAAACTTTATATGAAATATGTCTAAAATATTTAAATAACATTTAAAAAAATGAATAGTAATAAATATTTATCATATTCTGTGCTGTCTATTCTATGCGATAATTTGCGTATATTCCTTTCGAAGAGCAGAGTACACTTTCTAGAAATCACAAATAATCCCTTCTATATAAAGTTCGTCTTTTCTGATCGAGCCTTAAGCTTTTAAGTGTTTTTAACTACATCTAATTTATATAATCAAAATAATAATATCAATATGGGGTAAAATAACCTTTTAAACAAAAATTCACTAGCATTTAACTTAGTTTCACAGATGGAAGTCATGTTCTTCATATTTAATGCAGAGGATCCTCAGATATCGAATTCGGATCCTCAGATCGCGAATCAATCAAGGTATATAATCATTCGTACCACCCATATATTCCCTCGTTTCTAATATTTTTTTAAACTAAAAATTTCTTAATTTAAATACTGTCATTTTGCCTATGATGTAAAACAGAAAGAAACTTGACAGAGGACATGAAGATCTTTTCCTATAACCGCAAACTGTGCTCCCGTGCACTACTGCCTTCTGAAAAAGTGGATGTTTGAATATTCAAAGTTAATAATTAGCGAATTTTGTCTTACAATAATAAATTTTCAGTTTTTACCAAACATAATTACTAGTATGTAAATATATACCAAAGTCTCTATAATTACTAGCAATTAATATAATTACTAGAGTCTTTGAATACACTTCAAACTTTTCCATCACATATCGTTAAATTAAGATTTAATTTAGCAAAAACGAACTAGAGGCCCTCCACCACCCCCGCCGATTTTATCGGCGGTCCTCTTTTCTTTGTAAGTATACTCACCCGTAAAAAAACGAGCTATTAATAAATTTAGCCTGTTTTTGCAGGTAAGTATAGTTAATTTATTTTTTATTTTTATTTTTTTGTATTTTTCGCTAATCATAATATACAATAACTTTTGTTATATTATCTTTTATTGTAATAAACTTATACAATTCAATATTATAGTTATAATTGTTTACAATACAATGTACAATTATAAATGCTGTTTAAATTATAATAAAAATGATAATATAGGAGCCTAATTAACAAATTTTAGCAATGAGGTATTATACGAAAACGTCGAAAATACATACAATAAATACATAAATTTTTTTAAACCAATAATTTAATAAACATAACTTATTAATATGACGATAAAAAGTCATTAATATATTTACGATAGCACTTTCATCGCCTTCAACTATCCTAATAAATTGATCATATCAAAATCCCTCCGACCTGTGGTATACGGGTTAGTATTCAATGCAAAGAAGAACAATTTTCATAGTGGAGAACGAATTAAATGTATTCTGATTCCGAGTCAAATTCACAAAATTCATTTGCAAGGAAAAGTTAAGCATCCGAAATATCAAATATCAGTAATCTTATTACAGGAAAGTGTGCATCCCGAATCTTTCAGACTACTTACGGTAGTAATAATTTGGGTAGCATGTCAATTACAATTATCATTTTTATTGCATCTTTAATATAATATTAAAATTCACGAGAAAATATGTTCTGCCACACATCATCTTTTATTAAAAATAAACGGATAGAATGATTTCTTTATGGAATAGTGGTTATACGAAGGAATATATTTAATAATAATAAAATACATGCGTTACTGTAATTTTTTATATGTATGGATACAAAAGTTTCTCGGGTACCAACTGTTCGAGATAAACCGAACCCGATAATAACGGGATTTTAAAGAACTGCACTCTTATACAAAAAAATTTATTATATAAAATTTAACATATTTATTTTTCCGTATTTTTCAAAAATTTTAATTATTAATATCCCGTTAATATGAGGGTACCCATTCGACTTATCTCGAATTTTTTGTACCTACACACATTTTTAATTAAATTCATATAATCACGATTAACATTGTTAAAAGAATATAAAATATTTTAGTAAAAATTATCTAAGTTGAAAAAGATAAAAATTTGTTAAATATAATCTCACAATATCTACATGTGTTTTATCATAGAAAAGTGTATATATACGTAAAAATTAATAATTAATAATATTTTGGAATGGCGGGATGTCCAATACCTAAAAATGATTTAAAAAATAACAGTTAGAAAATTAAATATACACATTCGTAACCATATTTTTGTTAAAGCAATCATTGAAAAATAAATCAATTATTTGTATAAACTTAAACTTATTTAATAATTTGAATTTAAACCAATAATTATTATATATATGTATGTTAATCATATAATATTAAATTTCTATTGTTATTAAGACAGTACTGACGTACTACTAACATTATTAGTGGGAAAACATTTAATAAAACAAAAAAAGCGACGAAAATTGTATGCCAAAATATATTACTGAATTTCGCAACTTGATTTCAAAATATATAGTAATTGTCATTGATCCATTGACAAAATTATTACTTCCAGAATTTGCAGACGAGAAAACCCGGGATTAATTCCGATCCTGTACAAGATCTCCGAAGCGAGATCAAACTGGACTTCGCGATTTCACGAAAAGCGACGAGGAATTTCTATGATAAAAATAATTTCGACTTTCCACCAATACAAACCACATAATTACTGTCGTCTATCTAATGCGTCCATCTAATGCGAGAGACAGCGATGAGGCCTTGCATATAATAAATTGATTACTAACATATACTTGTAATTCTGTAATGTTAAAAATGTAAATGTCAAAAAGCAAGCAAGAAGTTAATATTTAATCATTGCCTCAGTCAAAGTTCCAATCTTTATGACTTATTTAATAAATTTGTATACTAATAAATATGAAGAAAAATTGACGATTATTCTAAACATCAATTTTTCAATTATAAATTACTTAAAATTATTAATGACTTTTTGTTATTTAAAATAAAATTCAAATTTAAAAAGATTTCAAAATTAAATATTTATCAAACTTGTTTAAATCAATAAATTAAAAAAAAATAATTTTTGTTATTATATGTTTCGTCGATTTCGTATAATTTACATCAATCACATA